ATTAGTAATATTTTAGAAATGATCAATGTTTCTTATAAAGTACATGTTTGTATAAGTTTAAAGTTTTAATATTTTTTGAATATCTATTTTATTTTTTCTAGATGCTTTTCTACTTCATTTAAAATTTTGGATTACTTTTTCGACAGCTTAATTGTTTAGTGCGCTTTTTAATTTAATTCACTACATAATAAACAGGCACGGTTTTTGCAAAGTCAAAAAAAAATTTACTTCTAAAGAATTTTTTAACGACACAACAAATGGCGCTTGTTAAGTGTACATTTTTGTAACATTAACGTTACAAACATGCTAGTAACAAGTATAAAACCAAATTTTGTATTTAATTAGCAATTTTTATATAAATAAACAGATAGCTTTTTTTTTAAACATCTTCGCTTCCAACAAGGCTGCAATCACCCACTAATTAGTGTTTGAATTTACTAGAAGAGGAAAGAGGAAGATTGTAGAGCAAGATAACGATTGACAGATGACTTAAAAGATTGCAAATTATATGAATCAAGAAAGCAAGATGAAGGATACGAATTCCAAAGAACTGATGTTTGAGGAAAAAAACTAGACGAACAAGATTTTTGTAGCACTTAGGAACAGTAACAGAAAAAGGATGAGACTTAATTGAATGATGAGAATTTTAGTAGATGGCACATGAGACGCTAGCTCTTTAGAGCAGTGTCCATTATAGTATTATTAAAAAAAGAGAGAAGCAACATTAGGATGGTATGACAATGGTTGAAGGTTGGCTGCAAGAGCAGGTCCAACTATGTTTACAAAGTGTTTTTGCACCTCGTCTAAAAGAGAAAAAAGGGCATCATTAGAAGATGCGCCCTACATATGGCAACAGTATTCCATACAAGGCCGGATTTGAGATTTATAGAGATAGAGAATAGAATCCAGAGTAAGAAAGTGTAGAACTTGATAAAGAGATGCAACTTCAGCAGTTTTTATTTTTGCAACGGATTTGATATATGGTTTCCAAGAAAGATCATAAGTAAGAGTTAATCGTAGAAGGTGAAGTGTAGATGACTCATTGAGTACATTACCATTCATAAATATAGGAAGGTCTAAATTATTGGGATAACGATTGTCTGAAAAAAATTGAGTTTTATCTGAATTAAAGTTCACCAATTACTGCGAGTCCCATGCTGTAGCAGAAGTGAGATCCTTTTCAAGCTCAATTGCCCCTCCAAGTAATTGAAAGAGTTGGCCTCTTATCATGACAAGAACAAATGATAGTATCATCAGCAAACAATCCCACCTTGGATGTGAGAAAAATTGTTAATGTAAAATAAAAAGAGTATAGGGCCAAGGATTGAACCTTGAGGAACCCCTGAGGTTACAGAATAAGAATTATTGAATCCTTCCTTTCCAATCGTAGTATAAAAGTTGTCCATCAAGGACAACTTTTATACTACGATTGGAAAGGAAGGATTCAATAATCTTAAAGATGTTTCCAGATAAACTGTAAGAAGAAAGCTTATGGAGAAGACCAGCATGGCAAACTTTATCAAATGCTTTAGAAATGTCAAGAGCGATCGCCTTAACCCTCCACCTTTATCTAATGCATGATAAAACCTATCGGTTAATACTGTTAGCAAATCAGGTGTAGAATGAGAAGATCAAAATCCATATTGATCATCAGAAAGTAAGTTATTAGATTCAAGATGAGAGATTAAGTGCTTCTTAATTGAAGATTCAAAAACCTTGCTTATGATAGGAAGAAGACTAATGAGACGGTAGTTAGACGATTCAGATCGCTCTCCAGTATTTTTACGGATAACAGGTGCTGCTTTCCAGGAAAGGCTGGAAAACAAGACTCTGATAAGCACTTGTTGAATAGTTTTGAAAGGATAGACGACAGCTCCAGAGAACAAGACTACAACATACCTGTTATAGTCTGCAAGACTATAACAGGTATGTTGGCTGGCCCACAAGCTATAGAAGAGTCTAAGCAGGAAATCACTTTAGATACAGAAGCTGGAGTGATACATATGTCATGTAATGGATCAACCTGTTTGACTAAATCAGGTAGAACGCAACTAGTGGAATCAAGAGATGATATTGATGGAATGTTCTTAGCAAACAATTCAGCTTTGTCTTTAGGTAAGGTGACAAAGTCTGAACCATACAAAAGAGGTGGAATAGATTTGCCTTTATTATTGATACTATTAAAGATTCTCCAGTCATGAGAGCCTAATTTTTGTGATGAAATACAAGATTTGGTAACCTAGAAATAGCAGGCTTTGGCATTAGACAAAACCTTTTTACAATGTATTATCCTAGCAGTAATAAACAGATGTCTTTTTTCTGGAGAATTGTTTTGCTGATAGATATGGAAGTAATGGTTTCGATTGGTAATTACAGCAGCAAAATGTGAGGGAAACTATGGAGAAGAGTGAGGCTTGACCTGAAATCATTGAGAGGGAATAAAGGATTCCATGCCAGCCTAAATCCACAAAGTTATGTAAGAAGCACTTTTGTCAACAGGAAGACGAACGATTTCTACCCAAGGGCCATCACGAAGAAAATCACGGAAAGAGTCCCAGTCAGCTTGAAGGTATTTGTAATATGTATGATAATAGGGGGATTCTGATGATAAAGAAGATTGAGATAATAGCTTTAGAGAGATCAAACTGTGGCATCAGAGGCACCTAAGGGTGTATGTGGAGAAACTGAGCACTGACTAGGATCAGAAACAAGACATAAGTCTATTAGAAGGTAAAGGATTGGGGTTGTCTGGAAAGCGAGTTGGAAAGTTGGCTATTCGAGTTTGGGATTGAGAAAAGCAAAAGTTAAGAACTTTAATGTGCCTGCAGAGTCACTAACACTAGAGCCAAGCCATTCATTGTGATGAACATTGAAATCACCGGCAACAACAATAATGGCTGATGGATAAAAAGAGAGGGCTTGGTCAATATGAGCAGAAGTAACATCAAGAAGAGTGTAGTCTTGAGATGAAGGAGAGCAATATAGAAGAAAAAGAAAGGTGATAGAGTGAAGTGATGCTAAACAAAACGACATAAAAGAGTAGTCTGGATTCAAACCTAATTTCCCGACAAATAAGTGAATTATTACAAATGTAAATGCCCAGGCCAAACATGTGACTATTGGAGTCATTACGAAATGAAGGAAGATAACCATCAACACTAAGATCACAAGATGAGACAGTTGAACTCAAATTAGTCTCACAAAGAGCAAGTAGGTCTGGTGAATTTTGCAAGAGATAAGATTCAACAAAAGAAAAGTTATTTCCAAGACCACGAATATTAGTGAGTTTTAGCCAACTTGGTGATGACAGTGGTTTTATGTGTTTTATAGTTTTTGTTACTTTATTCGTTTTTAAATTTGTTAAAAAACTTGACTTGAAATATAGATAGTACTCAGTACACTGTTTAATAGTCCAAGCAATTGCCTCATTACTATTAATAAACCCTAAGCCGTAACAAAGGGCTGCAGTGTGGCTTTGGCAATGCACACCAAAAGTACAAACAGGGACACCATCCATGCGCAAGATAGCTCTGTTAATACTTAGATATTTTTCAGCTGTTGATGGAATCTGCCTCTCTGAAAGCTACCACAGTGTTCGGGAAACCTGACTACCAGCCGACCTCAGAACTATAAAACTGAATTTTAGAGCTATACCCTTATTAGAAGATAATAGAATGAGTTGCCTGGTCATAAATACAGGACATAAGCAAAACCCATGTAGTGTGTACATGTATTTGTGTCAGTGTTGTGAACAAAAAACAAAAATGAGTAATGGTGAATTGATTGAAGTGGCAAAAACCTAAGGTACATAGTATTATGTGTTTTTTATGGTAATAGTGGACTTGTGTTAACTCAGAAAACATTGTATATAGTTTTTTAAATTTTGCAAAATTTAACTTTAATAAAAAATTACGAAACACAATATTTGTTAACAGAAATAAACATACCTAAAACATTTTAGAAACAATTTTAATATTTAATTTTTAGGGATTACTTTTTCCGGATATTTCCAGAATTCCAGAATTTTTTCTGAACTTTTAGTTTTTCCGGATTTCCAAAATGTTTTCCACACATACAAGTTTAGGTGTATATTTTTGTAATATATTTGTTTTTTAGGCTTTTTCACTCATTGCTTATACAAAAATTTAAAAAAGTTAAAAGCAAAATTAAGTGCAAGTTAACGAAAAATTTATTTAAGATTTTTTGCAGATATTTTATCCAAACAATTTTCTGGATTTTTAAAATATGACCTAGATGATCTATGATTTTAGACTATTTGCAACAATATGTACCCTTTGGAAAATATTTTTTGTCAGTAAGGTTGTAGTTTTAAAAGTAAAAAATTTTACAAAATTTATAAACAAACAAATAATACAAATTAATTTACATAAGTAAGAAATACTTTTTACATTTTTTTATGCGTGCCTCCATCAACTATGAAATTTTTGCATTTTTTTTGAATAAGTTTTTTTTTGAGTTAAGTAATCAAAGCTTCATAAATAACCAAAGCTATTGAAGAAAAAATAAAAAACTTTTATTTGGGATAGCTACGATCAGAACCATCCTAAAGTTATTTGAAGCAGTTGTTATAAAAACCTTAATTGTTTAGAAAAAAATGATACAATATACCTTACTAAATTGCTATACGAAATTTCTCAGGTTAGTAATTAAACTTATTAAACTGTTAGTAATTAAACTGAATTAAAAAAAATATTCATGACTAAACGTTAAACTTAATTGTTTTGTTTAACGTTAAACTTATTTGTTTTGTTTTTTTATTAATTTTGTAAAAAGAAAGAACCGTGTCTCAATGAACCTCCATAAATTTGAAAGAAAAGTTATTTATGCAGCTTATTTTAGCATTTAAAATTTAATTTAATTTTATTTTATATAAAAATAATAACGAATTTAAGTAGTCTTTATTTACAAGTTCATTGAAAGTTTTGCTCAAAACCATAAAAAGTAAATTATCCTGAACTAAGAAATATTTATTTGTTTAGATAAACCGCCAAGTTATCAGAAGAACTTCAGATGTTTTAGAAATATCAAAAGATAACAAAATTATTACTTATATAGTTGAATAAAGATAAAAATTAAAGGATTTGTCTAATATGTTGTCGAATTGTTAAACTAGGAATTATTCACCTTTTTGGGAAGGTTCAAGCTGTATAAAATTTAGTTAATGCAGCATATGTATTGGGATCAGCAAGTGCAGAACATGTTGCTTCAAGTATTCTAAAAACTAAAATGAAAAATTAAATTATTTTTTTCGAGGTGAAAAATTTACAATTGCTTCTTATGGCAAACCATTGAGTATTGTAGCTGGGACTAGGGACAAAAAAGTATCATGCAAGTTTAAATCATGTGTCTTTTGGAACAATTATGGAGCTTGTAAAATGTTTAGAATTAATCCAGTGTAAAATCAAAAAAAATTGTTCTATATTTAGAAAGAATCTTAAGTTTCAAAGAAGTATTGAAGGAAATTTAAAAAATCCAAAAAAGTTTAAAAGATGAAATGAATGAAGATTTTTTATGTAAAGAAGAAGAATTTTTTGAAGCTGGTGATATAGTAAATAAATCAATGGTTTATATAAAGGATATTGATGAATTTATACATGTTATAATAACTGAAAGAAATATTGACCCTTTTTCTACAATTATAAGAGTGTCTGTGAATTCTGGTCAAGGTTTTTTAAAAGTAACAATGAATGTTTTCAATCTGCATGATAAAACTAGCAACCAACCTGACCTTGATGATGCTAGAGTAAAGCGTTGTTTTATTGTTGCTATTGTAGAAGGAATATCTGAACACAATGGATATCTTAGGCAATTAGTTGATCCTCCTAATCTTCAAAATATTAAGTATTATGTTGCATTCGATTTAAAGTGTGCAAACTCAATGTTTGACATTTCAAGTCATGCTGGAAAATATAGTTGTGTGAAGGAGAGTCTTTTGGATTGTTCTCTTGATTATACAGCAAATACGTAGAAGCTGGAAAACCAAAATCAAAGATGGCTGATTATAAAAATGTAATTAATCCAAGAATTTTTTTTATCTTGAAGAAGATCCGGACACAGTTATAGAAAATATAGTTCCAGTACCTGAGTTGCATTATTAATTACAATAGTTACAACTGGGAAAGCTTTTATCAAAACTATGGCCTGGCTTTTAACAATGGTTTTTTAAAAGTTACCATGACATTGGGTTTGATGGCAATAATGCCAACTGACTTTTTGATAAGTTAGATGTTCTTGGTCGTGATTTTGATGATCAAGGAAAACTTTATTTATTTCCAGTTATTGAATGTTTAAGAAAGTTTAAAGCAGTAAACTTTCGAAGAAAAAATTATTGGTGATATGGAGTCTGTTGTTGCGTAATTTAAGACAGTTTATGCTAATTTAATGGAATATATTAATCATTACTTTAAAAATATTTCATTAAATATAACATGGAAAGCTCATATTGCAATTAACCATATTGTACCATTTCTAAAAAATACCAATACTGATAATGGACTTGGAATTTACTCAGAACAAATTTTAATTTTAACCTTTTTTATGGAGGTTCTCAATACCCTCACTTAATTTAAGTACTGTTTAATTTCTTAATAACAAAAAAAAATTGATGTGGGGAGACTTCAAACTTGGCGGTCGCTGTGGTTCACAGTGATTGTTAAACTATAATAATGTACATGCAATGATTATTGCATGTGCATTATATATTGCATTATTATTTAACATGCAAAATTATCATTACTTATCATAAATATGCATTATCATAAACTTGTACAAAATTGACATTTTTGTATTCATTTTTAGCTCAGAGGTTGCTTCCATAGTGTAATAAATTGTTTTTTTTACTCAATAAACAGACATAATATTTATCATACTATAAATATTTTATCCATATAATCAATCTATTTTTATAATTTTATTTTATCCTAATTTTATCCATACAACCCATCTAAACTATAAAATTTGAATTTTTATAGTAAATTTATAAAGTTAGGTATCAAATTGAAATGAAAATTATTATATTTAATTAAATCAAAATAAAATTTTACTTGCATTGTTACGACATTATTTCTTATGTACTATATAATGGCTACTACTACTACTACTACTACTACTACTACTACTACTACTACTACTACTACTACTACTACTACTACTACTACTACTACTACTACTACTAATACTACTACTACTACTAATACTACTACTAACTACTACTACTACTATTACTACTAACTACTACTACTACTAAATACTACTATTAACTACTACTATTAAGTACTATTACTACTACTACTACTTCTACTACTATAATCTCTATGAACGGCTAGTAAGCCGTGAAAATTTAAAATGTTGTTTTTAGTGAGACAAAAGTTAAAGCCGATATGTTTTGAAACTTATTTAAATGAAATTATATTAAGAAAATGTGTATTTAACAAAAAAATTTATTAAAATTGTAATATGTAAGCTGTAGTAAGATATATATGCATGCGCAAGTAGCAAAAGGTAACATGAGGGCTTTTTGGGTTATTTTGGGATTTTCGTGTTTTAGGAAAAAAAGTTTAATATTTTCTGAAAAAGGAACAAATTCCCCCAATATATAATGATATTCCATCATTTTTTGATAATTGTAACTTTTACTACTACTGAAAAATCATTTTTTTGACAATCCGATAAATCCACGGTAATCTATTAAAAGTTATGGTTAACTTTTTTTTGCGTTATAAAAATTTTGTATGTTAAATTACCACCTACAATGAAGTTATAAAAGTTGGCGGTAGTAAGCCATTCTATGAATACAACTTTTTTTGTTTCATTTTTTAGTTTACAAAAATATAAAACTTGACAAAAAATAAAAATAATTAAGGTGCTTAAAATCATTTTTTGTCTTAAATTTTTGGTAACATGCGGGCTACACATTTTCAAATTTTTGAACGATTCAACTTTTTAAGGAAACTTTGAATATAAAACGTGGACGCTTTTTATTGTCAAGTATGAGTGTTCATAAGCAATCGTATTTAATCATTGACTATTTTTTTCACAAAACAAATAAAAAAACTAATATTTTTATGCAAAAAGAACGAGTAGACTCTTGCAAAAATAGTCTCTCTGCTTAGAAAACCCGAGACAACTACAAAGATCCCTGGGATATCACAACGAGGTTTTATTTCTTAAAACTTTAAAATAGTAAGCACGTGAACTGTTACATAAAAGTACTTTTATGTTAGATCTATCTCGACTGGTATATAATGAATTATTTATTTCCCTACATTATTAAAATTAGAGATTAAAGAACAGATAGGGATCGACCGTCCCCAGTCACCCTTCATATGTAAAAAAAGGTATTCGCAATTATTTTCAGAAAATAAATTCTACATAAAAAAAAAGAAAGATAATGACTGACAATTGTATATTTTTTAGTCTTGGTGTGCGGGTTACTTTGTAAGGGTGCAGAAAAACGAGAAGATCAGTAACAGGTGAAACGTTATTAAACCCGTAAGCTAATTGAAAAAAAATTTTTAAAGCTTAAAAAAATTTTAAAATGGGGACTTATAAAGATTTTACGGGATTTTTGGGGTTCTTCAACCTATTTGCTTCTGACTTAAATGGTCAAACCCATTAGTATCATTTTGTGCTCTTTTCTGACTACGTCAGAAATATAAGTTGTAAACGAAGTTACAACTTCGTCATAAGTATTTTAAATTGCTTAAAGTCCTATACACATGTCTTACATCTTTTATACTAGTTTGCAACTTTAATAATACCATATGGTCTTTGAGAACCTCTTATGGCAGATATGATTCCTTAACTATTTTTTGACTTTTTTTGCGCATTATGCAGTTTAGATGTTCGCGATTGACATTAAAAAAGAGGTGCACTTTTCAAGCTATTTTTCGACTGAATAATAGAAAAATTTATCATAATTACAAAATATAAATTTTAAATTATTTTGACAATATATATTTTTGTTTGTTTTCTTCTTAAATTTTTTTTTTATTATTTCTATACGTTAGCAGATATATTTCTGCACCTATGTGTTTACTTTTGATCAAAGATATAAAAAAAAAAAAACTCAACACTTATTTGCCTTACAAAAAACATTTCTATGAATTCGCCTGAGCATGCATCATAAATCTGAGTGTAAGATTTTTTTTAAGAATTTGTTTCCTTACTATAATTTTTTTTAAGGCAATATATGGTTGCTGTAAAAAACTTACAAAATTCCTTCAATTAAAAGCAACAGAATTTGTTTACACTCGAAATTCAAACCCCAACTATGGAATGTTGATTACTTATATAAATAATAAATGCATAGTTTAAATAACAATGTATATATTAATTAATGTCCAGAAACATAAATTTACATTGTAAAACGTAAAATTTACAAACAAATTTTTAAATTAAAAATAACATTTTTTTATTTTATAAATAAAGAAGACAAACCGAAAAATCTGATAATATACATAAATCAAAAATAGTTAAAGTAAATTAATAAAATTCAATCTATTCGTTATGTCCTTTACAATTGGAAACTTCAATATACTATAAGATATCGATGCAAATTTATTGTAAAATTAGTATCTAAAATAGATTTAGAAAAACTTAACATAACATTTTTATTTAATTTAAAAATATGGATGTGTATGTTAATAAATATATAGATATTTCATTTTATATATGTATATATATATATATATATATATATATATATATATATATATATATATATATATACATATATATATATATATATATAGGGTGTATGCCAACATTTTAAGTTAAACTTCCCTGCCCTTTCCCTAATCCTCTAACTGTTTTTCCTGATTTAATTTAAAGCTACCCAAACTAAACTTCACAAAAATAGATCTAGATTCGTTTAGGAAAATGCTATTCATATGCAAAATCTGCCAAATAAACTTTTATTTTACGTATACCATATACAACTTATTAAAGTCAGTGGCGGATAAAGAGGTTACTTCCCCCC